TAATCACTTTCTACAGACAATAAGCAACATTCCAGTGAGTCCTAAGAAATAATTAATTAATTTTCAAAGTAAGCAAACACATTCTGTAGTCCTCTAGCCCTGGGAGGAATTTAAAGACAATGAATAACAACATGTTTCTAATTTTCCAAAGAAGATTAAAAGAAACCTTGGTCCTCATTGTTTAGCTCCTTCACATACTATCAAAATAAGAGAAGCTAAAATAGAAGAAACAAATTTTTCAACACTTTGGAAAATAAGAAAGCAAGTACCTTTTGTTTATGAAGAGTTGATTAGTCTGAATAAATCTTAGGATTTGTTGTTGAAGTTACAAAGTAAACACCACCTGACACTCTCTGGACTGACTGCTTTCCTGACAGTAAAATGCTTGGTGAGTTGCCATGTGTTCTCCCCAGTGTATTCATTTAAGATGACTTAGAAAACAAAAGGCATCTGAAGATTCTCAACTTAAGGAAAAATAGACTTAGATCACTTAAGAAAAAACATTAAGTTGGTAAAAAGATACAGGAATTTGAGAGAAGAGCAACCACATCACAGTAATGTGTAGGCATGAGTGTAACCTGAGCATAAAAGTTAAATGTGTCAAGTGCCTGAAATTTACATCACAGAAGGTGCAAAAGGATCCACACCACACCACAGAAAAATGTGGTGCACATATTAACCGAGAGAGGGACATGAATGATCAGAATGTGGCAGAAACATAGAGAGGAAATAACCATTTGAAGAAATCTTGAGAATGGGTAGGTGTAGCAAAACAGGAAGGATAGAGATGGCAAGAAGAGTCTACCAGCAAGAAGCAATAGCACAGTATGTTAATAGAAAAGCCATGATACCAAGTGAGGTAGCACTGCTGCATTTGAAGTGTCGAATGAATACCACAAAATGGCAGCACACTTTGGTTTGATGAGACTGTGGTTTTTTGTTTGTTTGTTTGTTCATTTGTTTGTTTTGAGATAGGTTACTTTGTAATCCAGATTAGCCTTCAAACTCACAGTTCTCCTATCTCCAATCCCAACTTCTGAAATTAAAAACATACACCTTCTGTCTAGACTCAGTCAAAACTCTATTTAAATTATGACTTTAAGTCGTACGTGCCTATTTCCTTCCTGATTACACTACAGTCTGTGTAAGAAAAATTGACAGCAAAATTAGATATCTTCTTCAGTGGTCCAAACAATATGCACAGGTCCAGAAGTCCCTCCTAGGGATGACTTTGGTTTGCCCTGTTCCCCATCTCTGGCACAGTGGATTTTCCTTGACTTGAGAGTGTGTGGATCTGAAGTCTTCTCCCTAGAGAAATCTGAATACACCTGGATGGGAAAAATCCCAATCTTGTCCCAAGTAGTTTTTGTTCTTGTAAACGTGTGTGTGTGTGTGTGTGTGTGTGTGTGTGTGTGTTATAAAATGGAAATATTCTGGTCATTGTAAAATATCTTCAACAAGAGATTTGGGGTTGGTGGCACATATTGGCTATCAACATATGTTGTTGCTACAGCTATAGCAGAAAATAAATGAAAAGACTCAAAAGATCTTAATGATTTTCATATCTGATACTATCTATCAACACTTGTCAGTTATTTTTCTCATGTTCACTAGCTTAGGTACATATAAGAAGAATTAGAGTTGGTTTGTGGGAAATGACCTCTTAGCCACTGCAATGCTATCAACATCCCTGGAGTTGGTGATGCTTTACACCACACTATGGGCTTTAGCATCTCTGAAAGCACAGTTTGGGATCTAAGAATGCCTAAATTCACTGTTTCCACAGGTCTCCCGGAGAGATATGGGCTTAGAGAGACTCAATGGTTTGGCCAAGTGGCAACCGTTGATAGCCACAGCAGAACTTGGAATGGTTTCTGGGTCAGTCTTCAGACTCATTAATGCTACCACTGTCTCCCCTTCTCTCTCCAGTTGGCTTTCTCTGTTGAAATCTATTGATATTAGAAAAAGACTTTAGGTAATAATACTTCTCTAGAAGAGAAAATTTGTGCATGCTGAAGGTGTATTTACATTTCAAATACCAATCAAATATTTCAGTGCATTTCCTCCACTGGCTTATGGTACCTTAGTGCATTAAAAAATTTAGCATTTGCATCACAAAAATTCTGTTTTCATTCTTCTGTACTGACAATATTGTGATAAATTATATGCTACATAAACCACTCCAGACTTCAGGGTATTGGAATGCTGGCTCAGCAACTAAGAACACTTATTGCTCTCGCAGAGGACCTGCTTTTTATTCCTAGCACCCACATGATAGCTCGCAACTGTAACTCCAATTCCAGAAGACTTAATATCTTCTCTCTGACCTCAGAAGGCAGCAGGCACACATGTGGTTTACATACATACATGCAGGCAAGAATTTCAAATACATATATGTATTTTTTTTACAAAAGACAACAAACTTCAGTCCAACAAACTTCAGTCGGTTATCCAGGTTGTATTCAGACTGTATCTGGTTTTATAGCTTTAATCATTTAAATATAGACTTGTATCTTAGTCCACTTGCTGTTGCTGTAACAAACTACCTCAAACTGTGTGAATAATAAAAAGATTTCTTGAGTTCCCAGTTTGGGATATTAAGAAGTCCAAAAGCATGACATTGGTATCTGGTCGGGGCTTCTTGCTGCATCCTATCATGATAGAGAGCATCCCATGAGAAGATGATAAAAGCTACTCAGGAAAAGTTTGCTTGTATGGCAAAGTCACTGGTACTCTCACTAAATAACGCATTAATCTATAACTGGAGTAATCTGCTCATGAGGGAATCCTCATTATCCAGTCCTCTCAACAGCCCTGCCACCTTCCACCACAGCCACCAAGGCAATCAAATTTCAATAGGATTTCCAGGTGAGATTAACCATGGTGGTAGATTGAGCACACACTGGCATTTCATCCTTGGAGTTTATTTAGGAAATGAAGCATTGCTCAGTGGTTCCAGAGAAATTAATCTATAATCTAAATAGATGCTAATTTCAGAGAGATTTAGCTACATTAGCACTGCTATTTCCCAGCACCTATAATCTTCTAAATTGACTTATTTGATGCTCTTCAGATCTGTTTTCTAAAGACTTAGATTTGTACCTCGGTAGCTGCTTTTGAAATGCTCTCCCCAATGGTGATTTATCTAATGTAATGTTCACATTTGATGCCATTTTTCTCAAATGACAATACAGAAGAGGAGGAGTCATGCAGTTATTGCTCCACACTAAACCAGTGCTTTGGTTCAGATGTGGATGGACTGCAAGGAAGACAAAGGTAGAGGAAGAGTTGAAGGCCTCTGGGTAAGGAATTCATGTATTACAGCCAGATGGGTGATGTGGTACAACAGGGTGATAAAAAGAAAGCATTCTTTGGAGAAATGAGCTAATATGTGTGTTCCAAACTGAGGCTTCCAGGCTGATCTGTTATTTCATTAATAATTTTCTAAAACGCTTGCTTCCACTCTGGAATCCTCTCTACCAGACCTTCCCATTGCCCCTCCTGGTTGTCTTAAAGGAATTCAAACAAAATCGATGATGTGTGGTACACTGAGACTGTGGCTTCATAGAAACCATCTGTAGTGCTTGCTTATACTTCTCTAGCAATGTGAGAAGCAGCTATGTCACTGAAAACGCTGTGCCTTGTGCACTGAGCACGGTCATGTCCACCAATCCTGTGTCTCTAGTCCATACTGTGATTTTGTGCTAAGGGGGAGAGTGGGGTGGGTGTGGTTGGGTGTGGTATCCTGTGTCAACGTTACAAAGTTAAGTTCTCTCTCTTCCCCCCCCCCGCCCTCCCTCCCTTTTTCTCCCTCTCTTTCCCATGAAAAAGCAGCTTCCTGATTATCCAATTTATAGCAAGATTTTTTTTTAAAAACTTCGGTGCTAAATGGTAAAAACGACGTAAATAAAATACTCCATAACAGCTAATATTTACATTACTTAGAGCAATGGTCCTTGTTTTCTTACAGCAGAACGGATTGACTTCCTCACACTAGAGCAAGAAGGGGAAGTCAGACCTCAGTAGTTAACTGGACCTAGACCACAGCTGTCCCCCTGCCTACTCAGCCTAAATTTTCATGCAGCAAAGACTCTTAGCAGGAATCCTGACCTAGCTCCTTGGGATGGGTGACGATACCTCCTTAAACTTTGTCATTCTTGGTCCTGTGCAGGTTTTTGACATTCTTGGTTTGTGCAGCCACAAACCCAGAGTCTGAGAATCTGTCTCCCAGCATAAGCATCCTGTCTCCTTTGGCAGTCTTGGGATGCAGGTGCAGCGCAGACTCTAGAGGAGTCTCTCCTAATAGCCATCGCGGGTGGGGGGAGGGCAGTCCGGACTCCCGCTGGACTGCCAGATGCTTAGTTTCTGACCTCCTTGGAGCACGGGGTAAAAGAACAGAGAGAAAAAGCTCCTTCCTGCCCCCCCATGAGTCATCTTTGGAAGGATGCTCTTCCCAGCCTGGGATTTGCCCAAAGTGGAGGGGGCGGGAAGGATCAAATTTGCTTTGTTATTGGGAGAAAGGGAGAGAGGGGTGGAGAGAGAAAAAGAAGAGAAAGAAGTGAGAGAAGGGAAGACGGGAAGGGAAGAGAGAAAACAGTGGAGAGTTGTTTTGCAGCTCAAAGTAGCAAAGAAGAGCAACAGGGAGCGGCCGGGGGGCCCCCGCTCCCCTCGGGGCCTCTGAAGCGGCATGCACCGTAATTCCCTTCCCGGAGCTGTGCAGATTTCCACAAACAATGACATCACCGGGCGCCGGCAGCGGGTGGCAGCGGGGGGATTTTCCTGGGCGCGCAGCGATCGGGCGGAGCAAAGCCGCTCCGGGCTTGCGGGGGCGCGCGCTCGTGGCGCCCCCGGGGACACGGGCAGCCAGCTGGGGGGGGGGGGGCGGGGGCGGGCGGGGGCGGGCTCGGGGCGGCCTGGGGCGGAGCCCGCCGATCCTCTAGCCTCCATTGGCCGCTGGCGGGCGCGCGTCACCCGGGCTGGAGCTCGCCTCCAGCCCTCTGGAATTGAAGCCGAGGAGGAGCTGAAAATGCAGATTTAGCATCAAGCACAGACACACACTAGCTCTTTCTCTCGGGTACACACAGCTCTGCACATTCGCACCCCTGCCAGCCAGCCGGGCTGCGCGACTCCGCGGCTTGCCTGGCAGCCAGCTGCTAGTGGACAGCGCACAGATTTGCTGTTTGCCGAGCTTCTCTTCTGCCTCTTTTGCTATACAAAGATTTTTTTAAAAAAAGAAAAACAGAAACAAAAACTACATACCTATTTTTTATTTGCATCTTCCTTCTTCGTCCCCTGCTCCACCACCCTGTGCACCTCGCAGCCCCACTTTTGACTCTCAAAGAAGGATGGAGGGCGGTTGTGGATCCCAGTGGAAGGCAGCCGGGCTCCTCTTCTGTGTCATGGTTTTTGCGTCTGCTGAGAGACCCGTCTTCACGAATCATTTTCTTGTGGAGTTGCATAAAGACGGAGAGGAAGAGGCTCGCCAAGTTGCAGCGGAACATGGCTTTGGAGTCCGAAAGGTAAGATTTTTTTTTCCATGCATTTCACATGTTGTTTCCAGAGGAGGGACAGCCTTGCGCAATCTCGTTGCAGATTTGCAAGTTTTCTGTCTTTTTATGTTATGCAGCTATTCTGCCATCGGTTCTCAAACACAACATTGCCTCTGGTGATCTTTCATGGGTTATGTAATTAAAGTGTCCTTCATCTGTATTAGAAAGGTCAGAGAAATAATTTGTTGGTGTTTCACTTGGTGGGGGCAAAATAAGACCGCACCTTGCAAAGGATGCTGTGCGTCCCGGCTGCTGTCCGAGGTACCAAGTTCTCCAGGCTGCCTAGGGACAGAGGGATAGAGTCCAGAGCAGCTGGGCTTGACGTCGGCTGGTTTGCCAGGGAAGTCTCCCAGCCCCCCACGCCCCGGAGAAAGAATAGTTTCCCACCGACATGGCTCAAAGATCGAGCGTTGCAGGTCACCTCAGTTTTCCGACCCATGCCTAGGACTTCCCTCCCAGTGACTTCACTCCCTGCCTTTTTTCTCAGCGGACAAGAGCTTTCTGACTTGGAAACATGGACGGAGTTCTCTGTCCAAAACAGTGCTGAACTTGTGCGCTTTGGCCCCTGCCCATGACCTCCCCACTCCCGAGGCGCACTCTTGTTTGGAGCGTTCTGAATTTGCTTCTGTAAGACAGCACGCTGCCAAGAGAGATGGATTCTGATGGGGATCCCCCGCCCCGGAAAAGTCGAGGTGTCCTTTCTTGATGTGTGGGCAGCCAGCGTGGTTTTCCCCAGAGAGCACGGGGATCCCCATTCCAAGAAGTTGTCCAAGTTGAACTGTTTGGATAAGGTTTCCAGCTTTGGGTGCCTCTGGCAACCGCTGGAGAAGTTAGGGTACTCGTCCTGGGGGGAACAGAGAAGAAGAATGCATTTGGCGGGGAGCATGCTTGACCTGTTTGTTCTTCCTGTGAAATATCTGTATCCCAGATCTGGAGTGTCCTTAGGGGACCTGGCACCGCTAGGGGAGAGTGAGGATGCAAGGAGATGCCAGACTGAGGGGAACGGAAGGTCAAAGGATGCAGCTTAGTACCCATAGGCTGTCCCCTCCATCCTGACCCCACAAGAAAAGAGGCTTGAGAGAGCATTGGGCTCCCTTCCTGGAAGGGCAACACAAGCTGGTCTCCTCTGTTAGAACTTCCTATGCCTCTTGCAGGGTTCCCAGCCACTAGAACAGCTCCTCCAGGAGCGCAGGGCTCTCCCGCCTACACTCACCAGCGGAGCGGCGCGCGTATTCTACCTCAGCTGTGTTTGGCAGCGAGTTTCACAGAGGTCCTGGAAGAAGCGCAGGTCTGCGGGTGGCGCGCGGGCGGGTCTCACAAGCAGAGAACTAGTTGCTCCCTAGAAGAGAAGTGTGGGTGGAGCAGGGGAGACCAGGCTCCTGCTGATCAAGCATTCTGCTGGTCTCCCGGGCCCACAGAGACTGCTTCCAAAAGACATTCAACCGTGAAACAAGCGGACACCCAAAAAATATTTAGCAAAATCCAGCGTCCTAGCGCCATTGGCTATGAGAGATTATAGTTAGCTGATATTTGACAGTGAGAACTTTCGTGTGTTAGAGTCCTTGCATACTTTCCCTTTTGATAAAAAGGTTTAATCTCATCGTGTGTGTGTGTGTGTGTGTGTGTGTGTGTGTGTGTGTACACGCGCGTGCGCGCGCGTGCCCACAGAGGCCAGAGGCATTGAATCCCCCTAGAGCTGGATTACAGAAGGTAGTGAACTGCTCCATGTGAGCCCTCGAAATTGTACCCTTAATTCTTGAGTTCTCTCTACAGCCTGTTTATATACATTCTTATTTAATCTCAACAACTGCAAGAATGCTTAATGCTTCTGTTGCTAGAACACCTTTGCTAGGTGTTGACAGAGCTCATGGGGCTAGGTTACCCTAGGAAGCCAGGAGTCAGCATGATCTTTAATTCCTCATTACCTATGTAACCCTACCTGTGGGTTCCTTCTGTGTCAGCCCTTTCTGACAGGGAAGGCAGACCCCCACCCCCGTCTGCTGCAATGGTTTTCCATCTCCTTCCCGCCACCCCTTGCAAACACATCCTTGGGATTTGATGCTAAAAACTTAATCAAAGGTAAGTATAGCCGAGCCTGATAAAGGCTAACCTCATCAATCTTCCAATATGTTTTTTTTTCTAATGGCAATGAATAACTCAATGAGCACTTAACAGTTGTGATAGTGAGATTGAAGCTAGGAAGTATAGAGATACTCATGGTTTATCAGCAATTTGGGTAGACTTTGAACAGAGGACACATGTACTTTGGGGTTGACTATTTGTCCCCATTCTTTTTTGGAGACGAGGTCACTGATTTTGTACTGCAACATCAAGCTGCAATTCCCATCTATGAAGAACAGGCGTTTGATTTGTTGTGTCTTTTTTCCTCTCCTTATCTTCTCAGCAGTGCCACCTAACCAAATCCTAGACTTTTGCCCTGATACATATTCAAAGGCTAATCTGTGTATGGCAACGTACTTCTGCCTGAAGAAGCTTTGTGATTTCTGTATGCCTCTTCAGAAGACTAGAACTAAAAGATTCTGCTCTTTACTAACCCTGATGCCACATGTTGTGGTGAGAATGAAATCCTGGGGAAGGCTTTGTTCATGATTTAATGATTTCATCACTAGAAGATCAGTAGAAGCAAATATTTATGTTTTCTCCAGGAAATAGAGTAAAATACCTGTCTAGTTATTTTTCTGTTTTATTTTGACCTGGTCCTCACCCAAAACCATGTCCATATGAGATGCTATATACAAAGAACTCAGTGATGACAAAGCTGACTTCAAATAGCACCTCCCACTTCTCAGAACACTATTTTTGACTCTTCTGAAGTCGCAATAAAAATTACTTATCAAAATAATGAATCCCGTATCACAGTTTCAGCCAATTATGTGTAGGAATATTGAGCAAAACAAGAAAAGAGTGAAGTTCTTTAAAGAGTTAACATTTTAAACATTGTTAGACATTTTCTGTTTTATTTTATGTTTGGATTTTTATGGATGGAGAGCTAACACTGGGATGCTTTCAAAAATAACATTGCATGACCATTTTTATATGTGTGAGGCTATTTTAATTCTAAAGGTGATCTACTAGTAATTGTACTAGCACGTAATAAAAATAAATTTTGGATCATTGTACTTTGTGGATATATAATTTAACATATGAAAGAACATGGTTTACTATTTTCCCAAAATAAGTACACTGTATCATGAGCACTGAAGTCAAGAAACAATTATTATCAGAAACCCAAGACCCCCTACTGCTTCCTGGGTACTTCTGAGTTTGGGCAAATATAAACATGACTTTGGGGGATACAAAAGTCCAGCTGGCACTCTATATCCAGGTGGCTTCATAATTGCAGACTCAACCAGGGGTGGGTGAAAAAACCCAATGTGCATCTGTACTGAACCGATATTTCCTAGCTTGATGTTTTCCCAAAATATTTGTTTGTTTACTGTTTGCACACCATTTACACTGAATTAGATGCTATAAGTAAGTAGAGATTATTGATAGTACTTAAAAAACTATGTGTGTTGACTATATACAATTTTATATATAAGAGATCAAACATTTGGAATTTAGATACCAGGGATGCTGGCACAAGCTCCCAGTAGATACTAATAGGCAGCAGTACGTGTTTTTTGGTAGACATGAATGTGCTTTTCTGTTAGAAATTACTAAATTGCCTGGAGAGATGGTTCAGCAGGTTAAGAGCACTGACTGCTTTCCTAGAGGTCCTGAGTTCAATTCCCAGCAACCACATGGCAGCAGCTCGCAACCATCTGTAATGGGATCTGATGCCCTCTTCTAGTGTGTCTGAAGACAGCTACAGTGTACTTGTCATATAAAATAAATTTTAAAAAAGAAATTACTAAATTGGAGTCTATGACTTATGCATGCACTTATGTTTAGGAAGTAGCATTAGGTTTTTATTGCTATATGTCCAGGTAAATTTTTATTGCCAACTTGACACAAATAAAAGTCACCTGGAAAGAGTAGGTTTCACATGATGAAACTTCCAAGATCAGATTGGTCTATGGCCAATTCTGTTGGGAATTTTCTTAATGTTTGATTGATGTGGAAAGGCCCAGCTCACAGTGGAAGGTGCCACCCCAAGGTATAAGAAAGTTGTATAAGAAAGCTTGCTGACCATGAGCACAGGAGACAATAAGCAGTGTTTCTCCATGAGTTTTACTCCAGTTCCTGCTTGAGCTCCTTCCTGAATAATGGATGGATTGTGACCTGGAATTGTAGACAAAACTAACCATTGCCACCCTTTGGTGGTGGTGTTTATCACAGCTACAGAAAGCAATCTAGAACACTGTGTAACAAATCCCTACAATGTGCATCCTGTAGAACTGCATTGAGCCTGGTAGGTTGTAGTAGAGTATTTTGCTAAAGTCCTCAAAACATAAAATTAAAGCATCAGACAGCTGTGCCCTCACCTAGAAGCATGATCAATGAATAAATTGCTTCCAGGTACACTCAGATTTTCAGAAGCATTTTTTTCCTCATGAATGGAGACCTTGAATCTTTGTTTCCTCATTGACTGCTGTTTTAGAACAAGGCTATGCTTCTAGAGGCCACCTTCATTGACTCACAGCAGCCTCCCTCCACTGGCCTTCACATATTGTAGCCATTCAAATATCTTCTGTTTGGAAAGGCTCTGTCCCTTTCTTAGGTCAATCTGATTAGCTCAGGATCACCATGATAATTTGTCTTCTGATTTTTTTTTCTAAAAACCAACTGATTTGATAGCCTACATATGTTTGATTACTACCTCCAAAATTTTTGTAATCTAATCACAGAAGTGAAATCCATCTTTTTATAGTCCCATCCCATACTACGTTACTCGAGGGAGGAGATTATAAAGGATATCAGCAGTAGGAAACAGAAGTCTTGAAGTATATGTCTCAGAGCTTTGCCTACAACAGCTAAGCAGCCACAAGGTCTCTCAAAGCAATTAC